TGCACACACTCACACACATACACACACACACATTCACACACACACATACTCATACTCTCACACATACGCTCTCACACACACACACACACACAGACACACATACTTACACACACACACACACTCACACACACACACTTACACACACACAGACACACTTACTTACGCACACACACACACACACACACACACGTATACAAATCTATAAATAAAGCAAAAACTTTGCCAAGCACAGCAATGACACACAATCCTAGTGATAATAAATAAAAATAATTAATTAAAACAGTATAAAATAGTAATATAAATATTTTTTTACATAATATATATATATATATATATACTAAAATATTTTATTTATACATTTCATTTATTTTTTAGTTTTCATTTTAGTTTTTGTCATTTTTCTTAGCTTTAGTTTTTTTCCATTTAGCTTGATTTATTTTGTATTTCAGTTTTATTTGTAATAAATATGTTAATAAATATATAAATAATGCAGTGACATGGCCAAGCTTTAAACTTTAAACTGTTGGTAGTGCTAGACTGACTCCAGTAGTATTAAGTATGCAGTATTAAGACCCTCCCTAATTAGTGTACCATTCCACTAGCCTGACATGAAGAAACCCCGCTGATGAAGTAGTTACAGACGCACATCCGGATGAATAACTTTGTGCTTTATCAGAATTTAGGTGCGATGTGTTTTTATAACAGTGTAACACATACTGTGTGTGACACTTATACTGTGGCGAGTGCATGCATTCATAGGCGTTCCTGTAGTTCAAACAGTAAAGCATGCAATGCCAATGCATGCACTAATAAAACGTATAGCTTGAATGCATCCTTCACAAAAAATGCAATCCCATAATGCATTGCATTCCAGGGTTATTATAGATGCCTATTTAAAAAATATAACGCACTGATTGGCGAGTGTGTGTGTGTCTCAGTGAGGCAGGTGGCTCTCCTCAGCTTGTTCCTGGCGGTTCTCTTCGCTCTGTATCTGGTGCCGCTGGGCATGTATTCTCCCTGCATCAAAGAGGAGGGCACGCTGGGGCCGGCTCCCACCCTCATCGGCCACAGAGGAGCGCCCATGGTCTGCTATTTTTACCTCATGATATTTGTGTGATATAAAATCCACTGGTGTTCTTTCAATGTGGGTTTATGTCATGTCAGTATGCCCTTTAAAATCCATGTCTGTTTGACTTGCATCGTTTCTTTGACCTTTAATGGAGACATTAAACATTTAAATACTATTACAACTGGTTGTCAACTAGTTTGAAGTTGTTGTTTTGAACTTCAAACAGCTGGCACCAGAAAACACCCAGATGTCCTTTGAGAAGGCTGTAGGAGCGGGAGGAGAGGGACTGGAGACGGACGTCACAATCAGGTGAGTGTCTTCAACCGTTCCTACTCACTGCATTTGCATAAAAGCATTTTAAAGCACTGAAACATGCTTCGTTTACGGCTGCTAAGGCAACAGCAGTGCATGCATTCATAGGCGTTCCTGTAGTTCAAACAGTAAAGCATGCCGCTTGCAGTGCCCATGCATGCATTAATAAAATGTATACCTTGAATGCAATCTATATTTCTTTGGATAGGAGCATCTGCCAAATGCATGCATGTGAAAGTAATATGCACAGGCTTCTGTCACTTCCGTGATGCATACTGCAATTTTGTGTTTTAAGATTGCAATATGCAAAAATAATCTGTAACTCTAAATAATGCAGCCTTATGAGATACTTCATTCTGGCCTATTTTTAAGGCAGCATCCTTCACAGAAAATGCAATCCCATGATGCATTGCAACCAGGGTTATTATAGATGCATAAAACCATAAAAACATCTGTTACTTGAAATAAAACTTGAAATATTAAATTAAATTAAAACTCATATCAGTTAGTTGCCAAGACAACATTTCACATTTTTTATTTGTATCTAATATTTATAATTTATTTCAGGTTTATTTCAATTTAAAAAAATAATGATTTGTTTTCATATTTTGGAAGAAGTCAAACTGATTTATCAAAGCTTGGCAACTGACTGAAAATAAGTTGAACTTAAGGTACTAAAATTACTGAAATGGAAATGAAAATAAATAGAAATATAAACATTAATCTAATAAAATGACAGAAGCACATAAAAAAGAAAATCAAACTAAAAATACAAAAATGTAAAATATTAATAAATAATGTAATAGTATATACTGTAAATATTACAAAAATAGCACCAAGAAAATTTTTACTTTGATTTTTGTTTACTTGCTTTTTAAAAAATTAAACACCATGAAATAATTTTTTCATATTTTGGAAAAAGTTCAAATCAAACAGATTTTTCAAACATCGCCAACTCATTGAAATAAAATAAATTTAACTTAAAGTGCTAAAATGACTAAAACTGAAACAGAAATAAAAAATTAATATAATATATATAAAAAAAACTAATAAAATGACAGAAGCACATAAAAAGTAAAAAAAAAAAATAATAATAATAATTCAAAATAATAATAAAAACTGTAATTGTATATAAATACAAAAATAACACCAAGAAAAAAATACTTTGATATTTGTTTGTTTGCCTATTTCTCTAATTAAATAACATAAAATCAAAATTTTTTCATATTTTGGAAGAAGTCAAAATCGTAAAATATAAAATCGTAAAATAGTAATGTGAAGTACTAAAATTGCTAAAACTGAAATAAAAATAAGATTAATATAAAAAAACTAATGAGAATATTAAAAACAAAAACAAATTCAAAATATTAATAAAGTATATAAATAATACAAAAATAACAGCAAAAAAATTGACTTGGAGTTACTGTTTTGTTTGCTTTGTTCTTAATTAAATACTATAAAATCATAATCGTTTCATATTCTGAAAGTAAAAATCAAACTGAATTGGATTTCATAGCATGCAGAAACCGCTGCATAAACATTCACACGATGCTCCTCTCTGCAGTTATGACGGCGTCCCGTTCCTGATGCATGACCGCACCCTGAGGAGGACGACTAACATTCAACAGGTGTTTCCCAACCGGACGGACGCGCCAGCAGCCATGTTCACCTGGCCAGAGCTGGAGATGCTCAGCGCCGGATCCTGGTTTCTTCAGGTAATGATCCACAACCTTAGGGTCCTGTTCATCCACTAGCAGCTACATGAAAATATTGATGGCTGTGTGCATTATTCAGTACTGAGTACTGCCTGCTTTCAAGTGGCATCCAGTTACCTTCTTGCCTAGTTTGCATTTGTAGTGAAATTTTTTTTTTATAAAAAAACTATATAAATTAATATAAAATATAGTGCTGTCAAACGATTAATCGCATCCAAAATAAAAGTTATTGTTTGCATATTATGTGTGTGCACTGTGTATATTTATTATGTATATGTAAAGACACACACATGCATGTATATATTTAGAAAATATTTATATTCATACAATTTATATTATATATACATATATTTAATATATAAACATAACCTATTTTTCTAAAATATGTAATGCATGTAAATATTTTCAAAATATATACTGTATGTGTGTATATTTATATACATAATAATGTGCACACACATATTATGCAAACAAAAACTTTTATTTTGGATGCAATTAATCCTTTGACAGCACTAATAAAATATAAAATAGTATCCTTTTGTAGTAGGATCAAGTAATGAGCCATGAATTTAAAAACGAATGTGTGCAATGCATTGTGGATGCAGGATTCAATGCCATGTGCTCTGATGCACATTTTAGCAAATATAAAAGGCTATTCAATGCATAGAGAAAATTGAAGAAAGAGTAAGAACAATAATATGCTATTCCGTTAAGTGTTTTTATGTTAATAATTTATTGGCTATTTGACGTGTTGTATTTGCGCCTAGTAATTGGTTTAAAATGGATTTTTGTCGTTTAATTTTAGAGAAAGGATAATTACTATTTGTATTTGTTTTACTTTAAAGCTGGGTATTATAATATGTTGTGTGTTCTAGTATGCTTGTGAATTGTAGTTGAAAGGTTCACTGTGTGTTATCTTTGAGCTCCTAAAATACTGGATCTTATGAAGGATCTATAAAACTGTACAGGGTTCTGAGGGTTTTATCAGCCGAAAACCTTAGTTTCGGTAACACTTTACAATAAGGTTCATTAGTTAACATTAGCTAACTACTTTAGTTAACATGAACTAAGAATGAGCAATAGTTCTTCAGCATTTATTAATCTTAGTTAATGTTCATTTCAACATTTACTGATGCATTATTAAATCAACAGTTGTGCTTGTTAACATTAGTTAATGCATGAACTTTAGTGAACAACTGTATTCTCATTAACTAACATTAAGAAATATACTGTATTAAATGTACTGTTCATTGTTCGTTCATGTTAGTTAATACATTAACTAATGGAACCGTATTGTTACATATTGATTTTTCAAAAATGTTATGATTATTATTATATGTGAGGGAAAAAAAGATTTGTTTGTCAACCTCTGAATTTTGTTTTAGGCCAAGCAAAACTGGCCATTTATACAAGCGAGAAAAAGAAAATAGAACAAAATGTAAATCAGAACATAGTAGCTGTGTTTTCTAATCTGGTGAAATCAAGAGTTATGGTTGATTTTCTTTATTATAATTATTTTCTTTATATCACTTTTTGTGTTGTAATGAGGCTCTGTGCTCTGTTTTTGAGGGTGAATTGATATTTACATAATGATTTTTTTTTGTTTGTATATATATGTATATGTGTCCCTGGAGCACAAAAGCAGTGTTAAGTCGCTGGGGGATATTTGTAGCAATAGCCAACAATACATTGTATGGGTCACAATTATACATTTCTCTTTTATGCCAAAAATCATTAGGATATTAAGATCATGTTCCATGAAGATATTTTATAAATTTCCTACCGTAAATATATCAAAACTTAATGTTTGATTAGTAATATGCATTGCTACTTCATTTTTTTAACTTTAAAGATGATTTTCTCAATATTTAGATTTTTTTTTGCACCCTCAGATTCCAGATTTTCAAATAGTTGTATCTCGGCCAAATATTGTCCTATCCTAACAAACCATACATCAATGGAAAGCTTATTTATTCAGCGAAAAATTGACCCTTATGACTGGTTTTGTGGTCCATGGTCACATATATATATATTTTACTGTGTTGTAGGAGTGTTGTTGTTTATAGGAGGGTTTTTTTTGTAATAAAATCTCAATATTTAGATTTTTTTGCACCCTCAGATTCCAGATTTTCAAATAGTTGTATCTCAGCCAAATATTGTCCTATCCTAACAAACCATACATCAATGGAAAGCTTATTTATTCTTAATTTAATCAAATTGACCCTTATGACTGGTTTTGTGGTCCATGGTCACATATATATATTTTACTGTGTTGTAGGAGTGTTGTTGTTTATAGGAGGGTTTTTTGTAATAAAAAATTTGTTAAAATTAAAAATTCTCTCTCTCTTTCTCAGAGAGATCCTTTCAGCACAGTCTCTTCTCTTGATGCAGACGAGAGGGTTCGGGTCCAGAACCAGACGGTCCCCAGCCTGAAGGACTTATTGAATCTGGCTGCTCAGCACGAGAGGCTGGTGATCTTTGACCTGAGACGTCCCCCTCAAGGACATCCATACAGAGACTCGTGGATCACACGCACGCTGGAGGTCATTCACAACGAGTCCTCCATTAACTCCAGCCAGGTAGTTCATCAACGCTTTCTTCTAGCCATAATCACCGTTGGGGGTAACACATTACAATAACACAAGTTACGTAATCAGGTTACTTTTTTCCAAATAGTAAAGTAATGCATTACTTTTTAATTTACAATAAAATGTCTAAGTTACTTTTTCAAATAAGTAAGTCCAGTTGCTTTGTTTCCCATGTCTTGACTGACAGCTCTCGTGTTGCCACGAGATCTTACTGTAGCTCTAGACTAAATATGAACATGTATTTATTCATCTCACCTGCACACAAACACATTCAGTATTCCTCAAAATGAATAAAAGCAGTCAAATGCAAACTCAGAATATTATAGAATAATTGAATATAATAAATATTATTTATTATTATATTTAATGATCCAATTCAACCATACTGAGCAAAAATTAAAAAAAACATTTTTGTTATTTCTGAATAGTGTTGAACGTTCTTCTCCTGCGTCGTATTCTTCATGCGATTAGTTTGAGCTGCGCCCTCTACTGTACAGACGTGAATTTACATATCCTTCAGCCTGAGGCGCATTCATTTCACTTTTGTTGTGAAAGGGCTTTTACATTTGTAAAAAAAATTTTATATTAAAAACAAACAAGCAAGCCCAGCCCAGATTTAAAAAGTAACGTAACACATTACTTTCCATAAAATGTAACTAAGTAACTTAATTAGTTACTTTTTTAAGGGAGTAATGCAATATTGTAATGCATTACTTTTAAAAGTAACTTTCCCCCACACTGGCCATAATAATTAAAATAACTTCATGGCATTTCGCCGTTCCCGTTTGAAATGGTTGTGTAAAAATGAAGAAAGGATGGCTGAAGAGGTGTTTTCTGGTAGGTGTTGTGGCTTCCGGCCGATCAGAGGAGTCTGGTGCAGGAGCTGGACCCGGAGCTGCAGCAGACGTCTGGAGATCACGCTTCCATCGAGGAGCTGCAGGAGGAGCACATCGTCCGACTCAACCTGCACTACAGCTACATGTCACAGGAGCAGATCAGGTACGGCCGATAGTCAGCGATTGCTGCATCTGGTCAGAGCACTTTTTTTGTATTTTAACCCTCTGGGGTCGAAGCACGCACTGGTGCGGTCTGTCTCGTATTTTCTTGATGACCGCGAAAAGAACTAAAAATACTCTGTCATTTTTTGATCGCACAGAAACTGTAAAGTGTCTACTTTTATTTGTTTATAGTAATCATAACAACAAAACAATGTGCTTTTGTAAAATAAAGAAAATAAACAGGGTGCGCTCTCTGCCGTCTCGGTCTCTGTCACCTCTCTTCACAGACACGTAAATAAAACAACCTGAATCTCTGCGAATACTTGCCTCAAAGACATGAGAAATATATGTATAGAAAGCTTGAAATGTGTACTTGTAAATGAAGTAAGTCACGTCCAAAACAAATACTCTGTTAAAGTAATCCATATGATTCATTATCCCTAATGCGGTCACGCCCATGAGCCGAACGAGCTTTTCAAATGATAAACATCCACGTGAGACGTGCGTGCATGTAAACACCCACACCACCTCCATAAATAAACGCGAAGAGTTCATCCCGGTTACTTTTTGTTTCTGGAAGAAGACGTGCTGAGAGGAATAACCCAGAATTTACCTCAGAAGAAGAACACGACACGATGCGTCGCGCAGCTAGATCCAGTGGAGGATATCATTCTGATGAGTTGCCTAAGATTACTTGCATCTGTTGTTATTGTGTTATTGTGACATAACTTTTACACATTTTACTAGTTAGACTTATCCCAAACTATAATTTCTGACTGCATGTATGAAATAAAGTAAAACATTTTGAAATACGTGTCATTACATTGTCTAAATGTCTCACAACGCCAGGATGTGTTTAATGTTTTATAACATATAAAACCACAAGATATAAAAGTAGAACGAGTGTTAACACTATGAATGTTATTAGAGTCTATGAATGTTTGGCACAAAGATGTGTTACTGTTCAAGTCTCAGTGTTCAGATCAGTATGTTCAATCATGTGTCCTTGACCTTCACTGTGTATATTTTTATCATACGATGTTGTAAATAAAATACAAATAATCAAAACCCCACGTTATGTTACTCTCCTCACACTCTTTCTTACCGTCCTCAGGATTCTCAACAAAATACTAAAAATGAACTTTTTAAATTATGATTATTTATTTGTCCAATTACAATTGTGCCCCTGAAAATGCTTTAAAAAACCCTATTTTTAAGCTTTTTATGTTATCTTTTTGTTCAAGCCCTTGAATTTAAGCTTAAAGTCTGCACTTCAATTCCATCTTGATTGTTTAATTTTAATTCTATTCTGGTGGAATACAGAGCAAAAATTGTATCCGTGTCCAAATATATATAGACCTAACTATATATATTTACGGTTTAGTTTGTTTTATATTATACTATATATTAATCGATTATAAATTTAAATATTATTTATATTTATAATGACAAGTATTATATAATAAAAATAATTATTATTGCTGTTATTAATATTTTATTATACTTTGTTGAATTTTTGTACACATTAAATGTGTAAAGCGGTAATATAAATGTGTATATATGCAATTAATATTTATACTTATTTATATATATATATATAATTTTATATATATTACCATTTTTTTGTACTTCTTTAAAGAATGTTTCCTCTCCTTTGAAAAAATGTTGATTCTCTGTTTTTTATTAACTGGCATTGTAAAACAAAGCCACATTTTTACCAGGAAGATACAAATGAACTCCTTCAAAACAGAAATGTGTCTTTATTGAAGTCTTCTGACTCGTTGCTGAGAAAGGTTTTTTACAATTAAAGAGTGTGAAACTTCATAATGTCTCTGGCAGCTCAATAACGTCTCTCCTGAATGTGTCTGTGATTTCAGAAAGTACGCCTCCGTGAACATCAGCACTAACCTGTATGTGATCAGCCAGCCGTGGTTGTATTCGCTGGCGTGGTGCGCTGGGGTTCATTCGGTCACGACGAACGCTCCGCACAAACTCAAGACGCTGCAGCGGCCCCTGTTCCTCATGGTGAGCACAGATCACAAACCTCAAACCCTGTGACTGACCGACGTGTCAGACAATCACGCTTCTCTCCTTCTCACGCAGACTCCTGATGAATACAGTCTGATGTGGATCCTGACTGACATTGTGTCTGCTTTCCTCATCGCTGCTATTTTCATCTTCCACTGGTGAGTTCTGTTCAGCTAACCAGAAAACCTAATCAAACACACATGCATCACACGTTCAAGGATTTCTGAAGACCTTCCAGATCTAAATTGCATAATGTCTATTTAAATATAGTATGCAAGATTAGAACTGCATCAATTGCAGGATGTCCCAAATCATAGTTTGTTAGGTTAATCTGAATATTCTAATATTTTATGTGCAGTGAATGAAAACGCATATTATTTGCATCCTATCCAGTGTGCATGGCTCCATAATTTCTTGTGTGCATTTGTTATATTGCTGTTGTAGAACTGCATCATTTTTTTTAAACTGCATGCAAACGCTGCATCACCGTGGCCTAATAAAATAATTCATTATTTAAAAAAAAAAAAAACTGTGGTTGGTAGCTAGGTGAAAAAACTGTATCACAACAGTATCACATCTAGCTGCATAATAAAATAATTTTTTTGTGTGCATTTTGTTTAGTTTAGTTAATACAGTGGCGTTTTAGTGCCACGTTAATGAATCAATACTAAATCTATGAGATTAAATTCATAATATTTTTAGAACAAAGTCAAAATTGCAAGAATAAAGTTGTGTTATACTGCATGAATAAAATTTCAAATACAGTACTCCGCAAAAAAAGCCTTATATTGTTAGCTTTTCTGAGGTAAATGTTATGTTATGACTGTTATGATGATTCACAAGCTGTTTTATTAAATTGCTCTGACTTTTTTCGACACCTTCTGATATCCATTTGTTTATTTCGCACTGTAACTAGTAGAAAGAGGAAGAGATGATTGATTCTGCTTGAAATGAGGTGAATACAGTGATCTCACGCCACATGAAAGAGTGTAAAAAGATATTTATTGTTTGCATTTCATGATAAAATTGACAGAATTTAAAGGCTGAGAGTGTTTTTTAAAAAGTAACAAAAAGTAACAAAGCACAACGCTTACTGTGATTATCAGGTGGCTGGAGCAATACTAATAATCAATTGAAACTTGAAAATGTTAAATATTATTTGCAAGCATTTATACCGTCAATAAAACGCCTATTTGCCTCAGAAAAGACAACCAGTTAAGTTAACTGAATTGGACTCCACTTTAAAAATAACTATAATTTTTTTCATAATAATTTTTTGCATATGGGCCCAGGACTGACTTGTATGGAAGCCCGTTTCCATTTATACCGTCAATAAAACGCCTATTTGCCTCAGAAAAGACAACCAGTAAGTTAACTGAATTGGACTCCACTTTAAAAATAACTATAATTTTTTTCATAATAATTTTTTGCATATGGGCCCAGGACTGACTTGTATGGAAGCCCGTTTCCGCCATTGAATAAAAAATAAAAAAGGTAATTGTGACTGTTTATCTCACAACTCTGACTTTTTTTTCTCAGAATTGTGTAATATAAACTCGCAATTGTGAGACATAGTCGCAATTCTGAGAAATAAGTCTCTAAATTCTGCCTTTTTTATGACGTTTATAACGTATCAGTCTTTTTCGCAGCTGTGAGTTATAAAGTCAGAATTGCGAGAAAAAGGTCAGAATTGCAAGTTATAAAGTCAGAATTGCGAGTTATAAACTCACCATTCTGAAAAAAATAGTCGGAATTGCAAGAAAAAAGTCAGAATTGCAAGTTTTTAATCTAGCAGTTGTGACTTTATATCTTGCAATTGCGAGTTTATATCTCACATTTCTGTGAAAAAAAGTCAGAATTGTGAGATAAAAAGTCGCAATAACTTTTTTTTTATTATTCAGTGGCGGAAACGGGCTTCCATAGACTTGCTGCGCCACTGAGTTGAAGGCTTAAATCATTGTGAACCTGCTGCATGTTTGTTGTAGTTATATGATAAATGTTCGCTCCTGCAGGTGGCGTGAGCGAGGTTTGCCGTTCTGGTCGGGCAGCAGACAGGTGAATGAGAACGGGCCGTACAGCAAGTTCAGGACGGGTAAGTTTGACTTTTGGCTGTGAATATTGTGCTGCATGCGGTGTCCAGATCGCTGGCTATTTTCAGAACGGCAGACTGTCACACTGCTGCTGCGGCCAAATCTGCAGTTTACAGCACAGTACAGTACAGTGAGTGTGATACTGTACTCATGATGTAATGCACTCAACCGCATCCAAACATCTAATCCAGGACCTGTTGTCTGATACAACAACAGAAATCTAAAAACTGGAGGTAAAATGCTAAATAACTATATTTATATAGATATAATTGGTCATACATAAAAAGGTAATATTAGTGGCATTCTATATTTTGAAATATTTAGTGCATATTGTGAAATATATTTTGTAAAATGTAGTGCACAGTACATAATATGCAAAAAACATTTGTCTTCTGAACACAGTAAGTGATTTTTGGTGAAGGCCTTGTTGTTCAGTGCTGTGATGTTTGCATGTGTCTGTGCTGTCTGAGGTCCACAGCGTCCGCTGGAACGCTCTGTTCTTTGACCCCGAGCTCCCCCTGCATGTCCCCCCTGTGCATGGCTTCCCCGTCTGACCCTCCTTCACTCTCATTACTCTCGGCAGAGCTGAGCGACGTCTGGTCCATCTCCAGCATCAGCATCAGCGTCCACAGAGAGGCTCAGAACTCACCCGTCACTCCCAGCCTGCCCACCATCAGCGAGGAGCCGCCCGTCTGAAGATCTGTGCTGTGGAGGAGGAAAGCTTGCGTTTATTCACAGCTTCAGAGCGACGCAGACAGCAATCTGAGCTCCAAACCAACGGCGGAAGATGCTTTTCATTATCTGGTCTGGACGAGGGTCAAACTTGGAGACACGAGTACATGACTTTATGAACACTGATATTAAATGACCCTCCATTACTGGCCAGATGGGTAATATAATATGTAATATAATATATATATATATGTTTTACTGCTGAAATTGAATTTGGTTCATAAATGATGGATTTTTCAATATTGACAATATTATTGACTCAACATTGAACTGAATAAATAATAAATAAATAATATATATATATATATATATTTCAAATATACAAAAAATGGCACAAATATATATATATATATATATATATATATATATATATATATATATATATATATTTATAAAAATATAAAAACTCATGTTTTAGGTCTGAGAAAGACCCTTAAATCTAAAAATAAAAGTAATAAAAAGTAAATAAAATTATACTCTCATGACAGTTTAGCACATTTTCCCTACATTTTTCATTACATATTTCCATAATTTCCATTATTCTTTGAAACAATTAATTAATTCACTTCAATTCCATCTTGATTGTTTCATTTTAATTCTATTCTGTTGGAATACAGAGTCAAAATTATGAAAATTGTGTCAGTGTCCAAATATATATAGACCTAACTATGTATATTTACTGTTTTGTTTGTTTTATATTATACTATATATTAATCGATTATAAATTTAAATATTATTTATATTTATAATGACAAGCATTATATAATAAAATGAATTAATTAATAGAATTTTAGTAATTATATTAAATTATACATATTTATATAATTTGTATATATTCTTATATATATATATATTACTGTAATTGTTTTCCCTTTTTTAAAATCAACTAATTAAATACAATTTTTAAATTAAAGACATTTTTTCGAAAATGTGTCAAACATTAAACAGTAACTTCAAATAAAAATATTTCAGTAATATTAATATATAGTAAAAATAATCAATATATTATTTCTTATTCTAGGGCGAAACGCAGCTTATACTGTGGCAGTACCATGAAATTCATGTACCGTGGTGTTTACATGGTACTCAGTGATTCATAGAAAATGTTATGATGGTGATATTTTGTTAAAAAATATCAAAAGTATTTGACCTATCATTTTCTGAACTGGTGGCATACGATGAATCCATCGTCCAGTTTCTGTTGCTTCTGTGAAGTTCGTTTTTATCATTAAAGACTGAATTTGCTTCTTTTAGACCCAGATGCAGATAGCCCGATTACCGCGGTATGACGCATGGTAAAATGAATTGCATGTCATTGCATTTAATCCAGAGTGTTTTGGAAATATGTAAGATGTCAGATCCTTTGCATGATGTGATCAATTTGACAAACATTTACAATCAGGAAGACGATAAAAAGCCAAACAGACGATCTGGAATTTCTGACAGTGGAGTCGCTGATGTGAAGTACAAAAGTGCTCAGTCAGTCTCTGATTATACAAGGTTTCTGATTAATGCGATCGGCTTAAAGGTGAACATCGGTTTAGCAGTCGTGCTTGGGCTTGCATACTTGCTTTGTGCTCCATCATGGGATGCTAAAACATTCCTGCCTGTAGAAAATGCAATGCCTAGCGTGATTTCTATGACTTAATCTGTAACTTATGTCTGTAAATATGATTGTAAACTGAATTTGTTTCTTTTTTTTTTTTTGTTACTCTATCATCAGCACTGGTAGCCTAAATAAAAATATTTTTAGCAGACTCACTATATGCCCTGATACATGTGGTCACAAAAAATATATTTTGATATATGTTACAATGAGAGTATCACATCACAACTAAATTAAAGTCTTTTACAGAGTAAGAGTGGTCAGAAGTTTCTCTGCTCATAAAAGTGCTCAAGAGACGGATGCATTCAGGTTAGTTTCTGATGTTACAGTAAGTCAGTCAAATATTTGTTGAAGGACATATTTGGTGCAAATAAAGGCCATAAACTGAATGAATAAAAAGACACAAACTAACAGATCAAACCTACTGCTGCAATATACACAAGCATCAACAGTCGTTCAAATATTGATAACTTCAAGGACTTCAGCGGTTTCATTCTAGCATATTAATCTATGGATCTCATGGAAACATGTCAAAGTCACATTTCATCCTAAACTTAGCTTTAAATCCTCAGCTCTGTGTTTTATTACTTCAGTGTTTTTAAGTCATACGTTAAAGGCAGTGCAATAAATGCTACCACAATGCATGAACACAACACAAATTAGACCTCTAAATCAGGCTTTCTAAAAACTTTTTTTTTTTTCTCTGTGCATAAATAATTTTTCTTTAGGCTGAAATATGACCTGAACATGTTATTGCCAGGTTTCTACGGTTCCTCTAAATATTTGTTGAAGGACATATTTGGTGCAAATAAAGGCCATAAACTGAATGAATAAAAAGACACAAACTAACAGATCAAACCTACTGCTGCAATATACACAAGCATCAACAGTCGTTCAAATATTGATAACTTCAAGGACTTCAGCGGTTTCATTCTAGCATATTAATCTATGGATCTCATGGAAACATGTCAAAGTCACATTTCATCCTAAACTTAGCTTTAAATCCTCAGCTCTGTGTTTTATTACTTCAGTGTTTTTAAGTCATACGTTAAAGGCAGTGCAATAAATGCTACCACAATGCATGAACACAACACAAATTAGACCTCTAAATCAGGCTTTCTAAAAACTTTTTTTTTTCTCTGTGCATAAATAATTTTTCTTTAGGCTGAAATATGACCTGAACATGTTATTGCCAGGTTTCTACGGTTCCTCCTTTTTTTTCATTTAAATAAGGCCATGACATTTCATCCTAAACTTAGCTTTAAATCCTCAGCTCTGTGTTTTATTACTTCAGTGTTTTTAAGTCATACGTTAAAGGCAGTGCAATAAATGCTACCACAATGCATGAACACAACACAAATTAGACCTCTAAATCAGGCTTTCTAAAAACTTTTTTTTTTTTCTCTGTGCATAAATAATTTTTCTTTAGGCTGAAATATGACCTGAACATGTTATTGCCAGGTTTCTACGGTTCCTCTTTTTTTTTCATTTAAATAAGGCCATGTATTTTTGTCTTTTCTCCTTTTCATTCCCAAAATGATTCCCATCATCAGCTGTATTCATGTTGACTCAAAACTCATCGCTAGTGGAAATGAGGTTACAGTGGCAGATTAAAAGATGTTGTTTATGTAACCATTTTTAAAGGACTAGTTCACCCAAAAATGAAAATTGTGATGTTTTTATCAGCTGTTTGGACTCTGATTCTGACGGCACCCATTCACTGCAGAGCATCCATTGATGAGTTGGTAAATCTAAATTTCTCCAAATCTGTTCCCGTGAAGAAACAAACTCACGTACATCTTGGATGCCCTGAGAATGAGGACATTTTCAGATTTTCTCATTTTCATTTTTGGATGAATTGTTTAAGTAAAAATAAATAAATATTTTCACCCTTCCAAAACAGTAGATACAATATTTTTGAGCCAAGCGTATCTACAAAAATATATATATATATATTATTACAAAAATGCCTGTGATTTGATCAGTAAGTTCCAGGATTCTGTGTGATGTAAACACACGCGAAAACCAAAAATGACAGTATTTTCATGTGTGTCTGTAGAAATACAGGCAAATAACTTTATTTCATTATGTGAAACAGAGAGAAAAACAATTGCGATATACAAAAAGATACATTACAGAATATGATCAAGATTTCTTTGGCTATTTGACCCGTTCTGATAAGGCACATCTTCATCTGCAAACAACAGGCATTACACGCAAAGAAACGGAAAAACAGCAATAAATAAACCACAAATAGTTCATAGTGATCGCAAAATGGCACAGTTGTACTGAGATTCTCATATTTCACATCTAAAAAGCAACTTGGCATTTGCTATTAGGGTAAAAACAGAGGATCATAATGCAGAATTTGGCTTTATGACATTTACATTTTTCAAGTTTGTTTGTGACTATTACCATTCTGTGAAGAGGCTGAAAATGCTTTTAAAATTGAAGTGGTTATACAGTATACTGTGTAATATTTTTTGTGCATATCACCACTTGAAATATAAAAAAAACCCTGCTTCTTCCTCGGTTGACATACTGACACCTCGTTGTTAGAATTGGTCTTTACACAAGTGACGCTAACATGCATATAGTAAACAATATTTGTAAGTGATCATTTATATTCACTGTTATGGCTCTGAAACAGATTTATACTCATCATGCATTCCTTAAACAGAGTCTGTCTGATATATTCACTTCAAACACCATGTTAGAGACATAAACGAATCCTGGATTCTGGTAAACGGATGAAAACACTGGATAAAACTCTGGAGAAATGGTTCCTTTAAGAAAAGCGTGATAAAATCAACATGTGGTCAAGATAATGGCAAATATTTGAAAGAGGAAAACAGGACTGCCCTCTATATTTCAACATTTAGTGTAAACAGATTAAACAGAAGAAACCCTTTACCCTCTGTTTCAGATGAAAGGTCAAATTATGATAACAGACAGAATATAAAACTGAATTCATAACTACATACTTGAATGATAGATCGTGGTATTAGATATATGCATATACTGCATGTTAATTCATATAATGATATAAATGCATGTCCTACAATATCTTGATTTATATATATATATATATAGAGCAGAAAATTACACCTTTAAAGGGACAGTTCACCCAAAAATGACAATTCTGTCATCATTTACTCACCTGTTCCAAACCTGTACGAATTTCTTCTTTTAGCTGTTGAACACAAAAGAAGATATTTTGAAGAATGTTGGTAACCAAACAGCTGACGGTACCCATTGACTTCCATAGTATTTTTTCCCTACTATGAAAGTCAGTGGCTACCGTGGGTTAACAACAATCTTCAAAATTCCTTCTTTTATGTTCAACAGAAGATCGAAACAACTCGAAGGCGAGTAAATGATTGAATTACATTTTTGGCAGAACGGTCTCTTTAGGTTGTAAAAAGTGCTTGTAAACGAGTACATTCGCTTGCAAGAAACATTCCCAAAGGACTCCAAAGAGATAAAGAGTAGAGCTGGGACAATAAATCGATGCATCACGAATCGAGTAATTATTCTGCATCAATTCTGAGATTATGCATCGCGATTCTCTCTTGAATCGGTTCTGAGCTTAGTTTCTAACAGCAGATGGCACTGCATGCTTTAGAAACAGCCGTACTGTGCTTGCTTCCAGTTCCTGACAACATAGAATAATCATTCATACAGTTTGAAAAGGTTGACGCGAATTAAAGGGTGTTCATAGTGGGCTGTGTTTACATTAATCTCACGTCATAAAAGCCTAAAAGCCAAGGTGCAAGTACATGTAACCTCTTACGTGAGCATTTGAGTGTGCGGTTAAAAACTAGCCTAGATGGCCATCTGCTGTTAAAAACTAAGCTCAGAATCGATTCCAGAGAGAATCACGAAGCATTCCGATAATCTCAGAATCTATCCACGAATCGCGATGCATTGATTTCCCCCCCAGCCCTAATTAAGAGCATGTAAGTATAAGTGTAATACAGCACACGTCAAGTGCATAAAGTACTCCACGATTAATCACAGACACAGAGCGTGCTGAAAAGCGCTCAGATGTTGGTCAGGACGTCGCTGGTAGTGAGGCTCACTGACACCAGACCTGGAAGATCGTTGTTCTGCCGGTTTGCTTTGTCCCGCAGGCGAAGCGTGTGAAGCTGCTGCAGGTCGGACAGATCGCCGCTCAGGACCGCCTGACCCATGAACGAGTCCTTCAGAAGGTTCTTGTTGTAGATCTGATTAACAAAGAGAGTAAGAGGCAGATTAGCAGTGTTGGAGAAAGTATATTTTGAAAGTAATGCATTACAATATTGCATTACTCCCTAAAAAACTAAGTTAGTTACTTTTTATGGAAAGTAATGCGTTACGTTACTTTTGAAATCTGGGCTGGGCTTGCTTGTTTGTTTTTAACATAAAAAAGTTCTATGTAAAAGCCCTTTCACAACAAAAATGAAATGAATGCGCCTCAGGCTGAAGAAAATGTAAATTCACGTCTGTACAGTAGAGGGCGCCGCTCAAACTAATCACATGAAGAATACGACGCAGGAGAAGAAAGTTCAACACTATTCAGAAATAACAAAAATCAAACACAAAAGCAGAGTTAAGTCGCTGGGGGATATTTGTAGCAATAGCCAACAATACATTGTATGGGTCACAATTATCCATTTCTCTTTTATGCCAAAAATCATTAGGATATTAAGTAAAGATCATGTTCCATGAAGATATTTTGTAAATTTCCTACCGTAAATATATCTAAACTTAATGTTTGATTAGTAATATGCATTGCTAAGAACTTCATTTGGACAACTTTAAAGATGATTTTTTCAATATTTTGATTTTTTTGCACCCTCAGATTCCAGATTTTCATGATTCCTGAAAGACCAGCACCTGAACGCGGATCGGCTCCTTCGACTTCTTCCTGTAGAACACGGCCTTCACGTCAAAGTCCGGACTCTGTGTGTTTTTGTGCACCGGAGAGCGAACCTTCTCTCCCTCACAGCTGATGATGACGTACGGATCGGACGCTGAAACAACGGGAAGATTCAGTCGATCAAAAACAGCAAAACTGACTTTTGAGTTTGACATTTTAAAAAAGTTTAAAACATTTTTTTTTTTTTTTAATTCATCGTTTAAATTCTCCAATGTCCAGAAACATACAGATACAGTCTCAAACATACATTAGGGGAAAAAAGTGAAGAAAGTTAGACTTTTGATGTGTGTTATAAGTGAGTTTCTCAAGCGGGAGTAATGCAGATATTTGAGACATCCACATTTTGAAAGAAGGTACCTGAGCGGATGACCACAATAACAATATACATTTCTTAAAAACAAGTGTTTAGCATGAGAGTCAAATATTGTCTCCACTCCAATATATAACAAATACAATTCCAGAGAGAAGCAGAATTTAACTTAAGGAGCTCTTGTAGAAATATATGTATTTTGGTCCAAAAAGGCATACGTTTTTTAAAGTTTTTTTAAATAACCAGTTTTGTTTTTAAATATAATTACTAAAAATAGTATTAAATTGTTTGTTTGCTTTTGTTGTCATGTGACAAGCATGTCAACAGGAAATGACATCACAGAGGGCGTGTGTCAGGAAACTTCTCAAAATATCAGATCAGGATAATACTTTAAAAAAAAAAAAGTATATTAATATAACTTGAGACAGGTTAAAACACACTATTGTTTGAAAGAAACTGACAATTTTATTCATTAAGGTTTAAACTGATGAAAAGTGACAGTAAAGACAAGATTTGGCCATTGCAAATCTTGAAATATATATTTTTAATTTCCATTTTATAACCTCAGCTGTCTTGCGTGTATCATGAACATGTCAGATCGGATTGTTAGTGAAAACTAGCTCATATCTAGATCGTATCTGGTAGATGCTGCTCTCCAGAGCATTTCTGTGAGGGGTTTGTTGTGTAAAGAAACAGAGAGAATACAACATGACTCACCTCCATCTGAGTCCTGAGCCTGGAGTCCATCTGCTCTGTGGACATGCACCTGTGAGACCAGCTTGGGATACCCACAGCACCCTGTCCAGCAGGTGTGAGGCGGCTCGTCTGTCGTCAGCTCCCTAAACACCACACAGTCTGCATCAATACAGCCATAATCCATGACGCTAACAAAAGACTACTGTATAATATATAGTGCTGTCAAACGCTTAATCGAGATTCATGCCATCCAAAATAAAAGATTTTCTTTACCTAATATATGTGTGTGTGTACTGTGTATATTTACTATGTATATATTTAAGAAAATTATAATATGTGAGCCTGCAGCACAAAAGCAGTGTTAGGTCGCTGGGGGATATTTGTAGCAATAGCCAACAATACATTGTATGGGTCACAATTATACATTTCTCTTTTATGCCAAAAATCATTAGGATATTAAGTAAAGATCATGTTCCATGAAGATATTTTGTAAATCTCCTACCGTAAATATATCAAAACTTAATGTTTGATTAGTAATATGCATTGCTAAGAACTTCATTTGAACAACTTTAAAGATGATTTTCTCAATATTTAGATTTTTTTGCACCCTCAGATTCCAGATTTTCAAATATTGTCCGATCCTAACAAACCATACATCAATGGAAAGCTTATTTATTCAGATGATGTATTAATATCAATTTCCAAAAATTGACCCTTATGACTGCTTTTGTGCTCCAGGGTCACATATCAATTACATGAAAATAAATTTATACATGAAAATATTTTCAAAATATATACTGTATGTGTGTATCTAAATATACAAATAAAAAATTTGTGAATAATAATACATAAATACAAGTTTTAAAAAACCTAACTGAGACTTGTTATAGCACTTGCGTATCATTGCTCTTTTGTTAGTTTTGATTACTTTTATTGTCCTCATTTGTAAGTCGCTTTGGATAAAAGCGTCTGCTAAATGTCTAAATGTAAATATATACAGTACACACACATATATTATTGCAATATACGAGTAATCTCGCGATTACTCGTTTGACAGCACTAATAATATATAGACTGGAGGAATGATGCTGAAAATACAGCTGCGCATCACAGAAATACATTACAGTTTAACACATATTCACATAGAACACAGCTATTTTAAATTGTAATAATATTTCCCTTTTTTTTTACCGTATGTAAATGTAATCTTAGCTAGCACAAGACAATTCTTTCAAAAACATTCAAATATCTCTACTCGGTATACACTACCCAAACATATTACACAAATATATGCAAGTTGTCAGAATTTATTTTTTTATTATTTCACTGGGTGATTATAACACTTTTAAGAGTCATTAATGGTTGTAAATGTTTTATATATTTTTCAAAAATATATAATACTTATATAATGCTTCAATAGAAAAAATGCTTTAAAAAATGTTCAAATAAAGCAATAATCCCCGTGAAGCCGTGGTTTACAGTGAGTTTATAACAGCTAAGGGGCGTTGTTAGGCACGACGTGAAGCTGTTATAAATTCACTGTAAACTACGGCTTCAC